TTTTAAAAATTGGTGACCAATAAAAAAGCAATAGTTCAAATCATTGACATTAAAACTATTGTTGTCACAATTTACATAGCAATTAGGTAGTTGTGGGACTTCAAAGTAGTTAGTTGGGTAGGTTACCAACTCTTGATAACCAATTGTACTATTATTTGACTAGTTACAGACAGTGGTTTAAAAGGTGTTTGGCGTAAGCCCCGAGACACGGGGCGTAAGACCCACGCGTATTTATTTTTTAATATTTTATAAAATAATATAATTACAATAAATATTTATAAACAGGTAAATTGCATAAAAATTGAAGAAAATTATAAATATATAAAAAATATATATATAAATGTGTTTCATCCCCACAAAATATTAGTCAAAATAATTTATTATACGCTACTTACAAGTACAATAACTTGAGTCGAAAAGAATAAAGTTTTCTACATGGAGGAACAAAAAGGATGACTGACCTGCAATTTGAACTTTGAACTTGCAGCTATGAAGGAGAATGGAGTTCTCATTTTATTTGTAAAAACAAAATTGAATTATGTTGCTTTTGGGAGATATTAGCATACTAGCGGATAAGATAAAGAATTGAGAAAGATCATAAATTAAGGCTTCAATCAATAAAAAAGTTCTTGACTTTTAAATTTAATACATTTCAGTTCCTTTTTAAAACTTTTGAGTAATTACAAGCTGACTTTTGAGAATTTGGGTATTATATGAAGGATGTATTCAACAAATTTTGTTTTAATTTGAAAAAGTCTCTGGGGCTTACGCCTCACTAAAAAAACGCACATCAAACACCCGGATGTATGCCCCGAACGCCCGGGCGTACGTTTCGAATTGCAGGGCGTACGCCTCTTGAGACTTTCGCCCCACACCATTGCCTCGGGGAAGTTTTGGTGCGCCTAGCCCCAGGGTTCGCCCCGAAAACTCCTTTTAAAACACTGGTCACAAACAGAAAATCCTAAGGCTTAAGTTGTTCAAATCTGAAGACTTTCAAGAAATAGAAGGTTCATATATTTTAGGGGTGGGCGTTTGGGCAGTTCGGATTGGATACGAAAATTTCGGTTTGGATTTTCGATTTTCGAATTGAATAAATGAGAATCCAAATCCAATCCAAATAAGCTCGGATTGGATCGAATTTTTTAAATTCGATTTCGGATTAATCGGTTTGGATAACTTGGATTTTCGATTTTGAGCTTATAAGTTGAGATGTTTCTTCTTTTTACAAAAAATAAATATCCAAATGAAGTAATCATGATAAATTGCCTGAAAAATTCCTCATTCTCATTGCAATCATCCAAATAATATATTCAAGTAATGAAATTATTATTAAGAAAATGCAATAGAGATATTAATACGGCCAATAAGAAGTAGCAATGGAAAAGGGTCATTTGTGTCCATGTACTATTGATAATTAGTTATTAGTACCCCCGGTTATACTTTCCTACACTATTAATCTATTTTAATATTCTTTCCCCCATCACTAACGGACCCTTTTAGAGAGACACGTGTACAATCTTAAACAATCTAACCATCTACCCATTTGGATCCCTTACCCGTTCAGCCCCGACCCGCTAACCCGATAACCAATGGATAACTAGTGGGTTTAACTTTTACATTTCTAAAACTTCAAATTGTGGGGTTGCTCAAGTTTGAGAGAATAAGAATTATCCCAAAAGCAATCATATTCAAGAAGCCATGGATAATATGGTTACCCATATTATCCGCATGTTAACTCATTTTTTTCGTATTAAATATGGGTCAGGTCGGATAATTTATCAATTTTTTCATTACCTATTTTCGACCCATCCCATATCCGACCCGACCCGTCCGTTTGCCACCCCTATTGCTGGGCGTAGCTATAATTTAGCTAATTACATTCCGTAGCTACTAATTACTTGCCATGGGATGCATGTCGATGTATTCAATTCGGTTGTATACACTGTATTCGATTCGGATAGATTCATTCTTATATATTTTACATTGTATTAAATTTCACTGTATTGAATGCAGTTGTATTCAGACAACAAAAAATTAAAAAATATGGTGTATATCGCTCTATTCAATTCGGTTGTATACACTGTATTCAATTCGGCTATATTCATTTTTAACTATTTTACATTTATTCAATTTCACTATATTTTTCAACTGTATTCAAACATTAAAAATTACAAAAACAGTGATATTCTAATGTATTTAATTCACTGTATTCATTCGTAGCTGTTTTTACACTGTATTTAATTTACTATATTTAATTTGGGTGTATTCAAAAAATACAAGGATCTGCCATAAAAAATAACCTTCGGAATACATAAATACAAGCGAAAATACAAAAACATAAACTAGATTTGCATTGAAAAATATAGAATACACTCAAATTTGAGTGTATTTGTATAGAATATAATGTATTTGTATCATTGTATGTGTCACGACCCAAAATCCAACTAGTCGTGATGGCACCTAACCCAACCCGTTAGGTAAGCCAATAACCAACTATCCAATTTAAGGAGATTTATTAAGAGAAGAAAAGATAATACAACTGCTTTTATACAAAGAATTTCTCAAGGATTGGTAGTACAAATCATGAGCTTCTAAGATTTTGATTTTGTTTTTTCAAAAAAAAAAACTGAATTGAAATAAGTACAATATCTGTTTGAAATATAAATGAATAGAATTCGAATCTAATGCTACCAAGGGCAAGTGATAGCCATAACTGGAACGCATGTATATCTTCAAATCCAACTCCCGCCGTACGCAGTAACATCAATATTCAATATCTGCACGCAAGGTGCAGAAGTGTAGTATGACTACAATCGACCCCATGTACTCAATAAGTAACAAACCTAATCTTAAGTTGAAAGTAGTGACGAGCTGGGACAAAGGTCAGAGTCCAACTCCAATAACCAGCAATAATAAAGATGGTACAAGAAATGACTTAGCTCGTTCACAGTTACAGAAAATAGGCATACTTTTCAAGTACAACAGTAA